TGTGGGGCAGAGTGTCTCTAATAAAACTGCCACATAAGCATACAACTTAACAAAGATAAGATGACTAAACTACCCTTATTCGGCTCACTTTAACAGAGTTCATATCTGTCCACTCCCTGTTTAGCTAATGTATCAGCTATTGCATTAGCCAATCTTGGTACTCACTGGTACGTTACCTCCCCCTCTTACTAGCTACTTGATTTCCTTGACGGTTTGCCTATATTGCCTCAGTTACGTGGCTATTATTCTTTAACCAGCTTACAACCACTTGGGAATGAATCCAGATTAGCTAATCATGATGTCTGTGTTATGGGGAGTGGAATCAATGATAATTGCAATGCAAGCCATAAATGCAAAGTGAGAGATGGAGTGGTTGTGGGCTACATGCATTTTATGACTGGTGCAGGACATTATTATTGGGGTTCCACAGTCTGTAACACAGCAGTCACATTCAGCAAATCCTGTCTCCTTAAGAATCCCCTTCTATCTCTATTTTGTTAATATTCGTAGACCTGTTTGGCAGATTCCTTAGCCAAATGAGGAGCCACCAGGGAGCGGCTGTTTTGGGGTCAATGTAATATAAAGTAAAATAAACACTAAAATGGGGTGTAGGGTACTTCTGTACATATGGGTAACCAAATCATTGCAATACTGTCACATTACACAAAAATCTTTTTCCATTACTAATTTCAGTAAAGTTTTAAGTTATAAGAAAATGTTAAAGCTTGTTCATAAGTAGCTTTGACAATAATATTGTCTTGCCTTAGTGACCAGAACCATGTACCCAAAACAAAGTACCCACTGCACTCCAGATGTTTAACAATGGGATTTCTGTTGAAATGTGAACCGTGTGTGATTCAGACAAGGTTCAGTGGAATCTGTGTGCTAGCTTGAAAGGGAAGGGTGATTAATGGTTTATATAGCACCTGACACTGCTCAAAGTTACCTTTCTAGCCTTAATGACTAACCCGCTGAATATTGATCCATTTCTCCCTTTCTATGTAAAAATTTAAATGCATAAAATACAAAGATACATGTTGACACCCCAGCCTTGTCTTTGCCTGTCCCTTTCTCTTTCCTATGTCTGTATGTCCACATGGAGTGTAAGTTCGAAATTGTTAAGATAAGTGGACATTGCTCGGTGCATCACTTTGTGCAAAAATACCAAATGTAGGTCCTTTTCCAATCAACTTCTCCCAAGACCCAGATTGCTTGGACTAACATTGGTAATGGCCCTATTTAGTGCTACATTAAGGTTACAATACATCTATACTCTTTATCCACTCATCCATCTCTCTCTCTCTCCATGTTCCTGATCCACCTTATGTTGGTGACAGTTTTTCCACAATAGGAAACTGTTGTGTATGAGATTAGTGATCCTTGCCTATTGTCTCCTTATGACACAAATATGCAATTGTCCCAATGACTTGCATCCAAATACTTTTCTATATTTCTTCGTTTACTGAAATACTATATACGTGTGCGACTATTAATTTGGTGTCTCATTTGTTTATATTTTCATGCATGCTGTTTCAACAAGAGTAAACTGTTATATTCTCTGCCCTATGGTATATTGCTCTTCAATGAAAAATTGAACGTGTGTATGAACAGGAAAGCTAAAAGATATGGGGAATTCCTTGTTAGGACGCTTTGGAATGAGCCTTGACAACTTCAAAGCAGTAAAAGATCCCAACACTGGGTCCTATTCTATCTCATTCCAGCGTTAGTGAAACTGCATGTAAAATCTGCATAAGACAATTACTGCTTTCATTAATGGGGAAGAGAAGTTAGAGGGAAGGAAGTAGAATGTGAAAGGTTTTTTCTCTTCCATATTTTGTTTTCTTATATCATTGGAGGGAATGCAAAGTTGTTCATGTAAATGGATTTGTGTATAGGAGTAAAATATCAAACTGTTCTGTGGCTTTCTGGTTTGCCTATTGCCTGCAACTACCCTACTCCATCATACTTGTCGTACAACTGTTAGACCTATTTAATTTATTTTAGGGGTTTTAACTGTTCAGTCTACCCCTAGAAATCTTAGCTCCACCCTAGGGGTGGAATGGTGGGTATGAGCTTTTGGTCCTATTTCAGTATCTCTTATTCACATACGAAGAGAACCCTTTTTTGTCATTGTTGGAGATCTAGCATATATATTGGAAAACCTGGAGAATTTCATGAAGTTCACCTTGACATACGACCAAAGTTGAAGGTAGCTTTATTATGCCATTCATGGGCAAACCCGCCCATTGACAGCCCTCAAAAACATGGGATGTGGAAACCAAGTGGTTCGTACCTTTTCTTTCTTTTGAACATTATTTTGGGTCTGTTTGATTTACAGTTGGAATTGGAATTGGAATCCTTTGGAATCAGAATTGAAATGGTCTATTTTTCCCACCTGCTTGGTTTAAGCTGGAATTGGAATTAGAATCAGCTGGAATGGATTCTCATTCCCGAGCTATTCTGTCAAATGCACGAATGCACCAGAAATGAGAACTGAATTCCGATTTTGCCCAACCAAATGGTTGGAATTGGAATGGTCCAATTCGAAGCCCCTATTTCCACTAACCAAACGGATCCTTCGGTAATATCAGTTTTGACATTTTGGTATCTGTTGGCAGTCACTTTCTTGGGCTGAACTGAATCCCAAAATCTTCATAAATTAATTTTCAGAATATCAGATCCAAATCATGTAGGGCTAGCCCCAAGGAGAGCTAACTTTTTTGACTCATTTAATTAGGATAGATCAGACATATGCAACATAAGGAAGGCTTTAGTTGTGTTTGGTACCATTGCTGTTTCTACTTAAAACATTTTGGGAAGATTAAGGTGCCATTTGGCGGTCTTTTTGTGTGGTCTTTCGGCTGTTTACAAGTCGGGAAGACCGAAAATCAGTCTATTCCCGTTTGGCATATGAAAGATCTAGCTGCCAAAAGACATGGCGCTGAAAAGACGCACGAAGCTCATTTTGGGCTGATTTCGGGAAGCTCCAAATGAAGCTTCTCATATCTTTCACATTTTAATCTCATGCAGAAAGACCTGAAACGACGCACGTCTAGCAAACGGTCTTCGGGCTGTCCAGATCTTATGTCAAAAGCTCAATGCATCTATTGACTGTTAGAGCTACGAGAAGATCTTCTTAAAAAGACTTGCCAAACGGGCTCTAAACCAAACTGGCTTGATCAAATGATATTTTAAGTTGCAATTAGAAACGTCAATTATAAACAGTCCTATGCATGTATTTTTAAGATGTGCCTGTTTTTAACTATCGATGTAAAATGTTTCAGGTGGAAACAACAATGGTATCAAACAACACCTTTCTGATACATGGACTCCTCAAATTTCCGCACTTCTGTTGGGCTGTGAACAAATTCTTGCCAGGTTGCAGCCCTACTAGTTTGTAAATTGTAACCACTGTTTTGGGCGGAGTCCAAAACCATAGGAATTTAATTTTCAATACCCAGTTTGATCCAATCTTGGGTCTAGGGGTGCACAATTGTGCTGGACCTGGAGGCCGAGGTTGTCCAAACCCAACCTCCCCTAAAATAGTTCCTTTCTGGGTTATCAATCCTGAACAGGGAATATGACATTGGACCCAAATTCAAGTATCCAACCCAACCATGTGGTTAACTTTTCACTAAAATCAAATGACCGACGAGTCGCAAGATGAACATATATATTACTTATAAATCACATATTTATAGGTATTATATTATCATATTTCATATTTTCCATTTATACACTATGCAACATATTGTAAACTTATTTTCTAACTAAATATTATATTATAGCTAAGTATATGTAAAGGAAGGCCTGGCCTTAGGTCCAAGGTCTGACTAGGTGTAAACCCAAACCCATCTTGAATACATCCTCAAGCCCTACGTTTTGGCCCAGGCCTGGCCCTAGTTTCAAATGGGCCCTGCCTCGGACCAACTGCAAATTCTGATCCTACTCCAAACATAACTTGGGGTTGAAAATCCAAATCAGATCTGAATCCAATTTCAAAATGATTAAGGGGGTGTGAATGAGTTGTAAAGGCTTAAACTACCTCTATGTTTCAGCAAGTGGACTAAAACTTACCCCATTATTTGAAAAATTATTGAAAGCACCCCTGTTTTATGATACTTGAAAAAGATTATTTTGCCCTACATTCTTCTTCTTCGTCAGATTTTAAAAACTAAATCAAATTTTTAAAGATCTCCCAATTGTTGAATCTCAAGGGTTAGTAATTCACTTGGCTTTTTCTTTTTTCTTTTTTTCTATTCGATTTCACACAGTTCCATTTTTCCCTCTCTTTATTTACTGGGGAGCAATTTCACAGACTTCTGATTTTACATATCTTTGCACAGACAAATCTACAAGGGAGCAATTTGCTTACAAATCAATTTCAAAGAAGTTGAGAATAGCGGTCGATATCAAAGATGTGAGAAGAGAGGTACAAATCACGAGAAGCTCAGGCTTCACAAATGGTCATTTTTTTATTGGAATTTTTAGAATGCATTCCACCTCAGAATTTTGATTTGAACTGCAGACCTACAAAAATTCAAAATTATAAACAGCTCCACCTATAACACCTATACCTGCCCGTGAATTGGCATTGATTCCGAGCTGGCACCTACCCCACCTGTACGATGGAACTAGAAAATCTGAACAGTAAAAACCCCTTTTTTATTTCATAGGCTTCCTTTTAATCTTTTATACAAAGGATTTCTTTAGCATAGTTATTCAGGGACTATGAATAAGAATACCGGTATTAGAGGGAGACTGCAATGGGTTGTTGAGGAATGCTAAGAAGAGCAGCAACAAAGGGCAAAAGCTTTATGTATTTGGTTCCGTGGGTGTTTATTGAAGGGGTCTTTATCAAATAAAAGTTTATTTGAAAAATGGTACTTTAAACTTTAAACATTTATTGCTTTTGTTGTTTGGTTGAATGTTTCAAGTAACACTCAAAAAATTACTTTCCACCTCGGCTTAAATTGTGCCACACAAGCATTTTGTTTCAATAAATGCCTAGGTGTTGGGGGAAACAATAATTTAAAGTCTCTTCCAACGCCCATGCACACAAATCAAAGCATTTATGTTTTTCAATGTTTATTTGATAAATATTGAAACCAACGAATGGTTTCATACACAATAAATGCCAATGCCTATCTGGAAGAAAGCATCACTTGTGCATAATATGATCCTTCATTTTATTTTGCTGATGAGATTTTCAACAAGTTTCCTCTCTCAACGAGTCCGGATCTACTCCTCACATCACACTAACCTCACAGCATGTCCCAATTGTACATTGGGAACATCTCCCACACATGTAGTTATTATTCATGGAGAAATGTTCATAATACATGGTGGGATGTGGCTGTTAGGTCAATATGAGGAGGGCTTGTGAGGAGAAAACCCCAATTCTCTTTCAACATGTTAATTAATAAAATTGGCTTCTTTTGGGCAAATAAATAATCAATTATTGCTTTGTTTACATGATTTTGTTAATGTCCATTGGAGATTAGAGGCAGGAAATCAAGTTAATTAATTGAAGAGATCACATGGGATGGGATAGTGGTTTAAGTTTCACAAGAAGCAGATTAGTGTCCTTCTGTAAACAAAGTACAGAAACACTGCACCACCTCTTCTCCAAGTGTCCTTGTGCGCGAGCAATCTGGTATCATAATCACACGGGATTGAATCCAGATAAAATCAGAGAGAAATCCCCCCATGAAATCATTCTAGGATGGTTAAATTCTGTGAACAGGCAGACAAGTTAATGCATGAGATCTTCATTATTCTGCAAGGCAAGCATTGCACTATATCTGATATGGAAGGCTTGTAACAGTTTGATTTTTGAAAATACCTTAATGAGTCCTCTAGATCTGCTAAATCATATGCAAAACTATCAACAGGCCATCTTCCCTCATCCCAGAAACATATGCATTATCCCAACCCCAGTTTAAACCATATACAGAACAAATTACAGGTTGATGGCTCCTTTGATCCTTTAACAGGAACTGCAGGAAGAAGCTTCATCTTCCAACAAATTACAGGTGAAACCATTGCTGAAGGAAGACCATGCTGGGCAGTCTCAAGCTACGAAGCAGAAATAAAGGCGTTAATAGCAGGTTTCGAAGCAGCTTCTACCTTAACTGATCAAGAACTCTATGTATATAGTGACTCTGAAAAGCTGGTACATCTTCTAGGAAGCAAAGGAACACCATCAGAATGGACAAAGCATCTACACTGGACAAAACACATGACGCTCCTTTTTTTGCAAATATATCTTTTGTTTAGCAAAGCTGCTCATATACTTGCCTATACTGCTTGTAAAGGTCAAATGATCATCAACTATGATCCTAGACAATCTGCTACTGTACAGTTATTATCTATCAAGTAATATATGAAGCTGCTTCTTTTTGTTGCCAAAAAAAAAAAAAGAAGCAGATTAGTGGATGTGGTGGACGAATAAAGGCCAATTGTTATAAGATCTCCGTGTCCAAACTGCTCTGATAAACATGGGAAGAGGAAACACTATAATGGAAATAGGAAATTGAAACAAAGGAGGGATATCTAGATGGTGATGATGTAGTTAAACAATTTAGTGTGTCATAGAATCATGTGGGGTCAGAGGAACCATCTCAGTTAGGTGAGCTCACTTAAAAAATCAGACAACCTGATCACTATCCAATTTGATGGACTAGATTTTTCTTTATCTAACATTGATCAAAATGGACTCATTTGATTGAGATGGGTCCTTCCAACTCAAATTTATGTCGAAGTACTCCATTGTTTAGAGGAGAGCATTCGGTTAAAAATTTAGTCAAATAATTAAATTATATAAATAATTTATATATTTATATATTTTATATAAATAAAATATTTATTTTTACTTAAAATAATTAATAGGTCAAATTTGAATTTAATCATTGATTTTCAATATCTTTAAGATATTGAATAGGATTCAGATATCAAATTTTTCTAATTGAATTTAAATTTGGATATTACCTGATTCGATTCGAATTTGATTTGCTTACACCTTAAGTTTGGGTATTGTCTTATAGGGATTGATGTGGAAAGTTGTTTAACAAATGGCAAAGATGGTCTTGACACCTTGACACACCATTTAATAGATGACAGAATTGATATTGACACGTCGATACACCATGAAATATTTCATGGATGGTGGAATTAATCATGAGACCTAGACATGCTAGGCAAGGTTGGGTTGCCCAAAATAGGATTTTATAATTATGATTATTAAGATCATTATAGAAATTCCGATAGCCAATTGGGCAAAGTATTTTATGGGTGGATGTGGTAATTCATTTAATAGATGACAAAATTGGTTTCAAGACCTAAACATGGTAGGCAGGGCCAAGCTAGCTAGAACTGCGATTTCACAAGTTTTACTATTATAAGCCATTATGGCAGTTCTGGTGGGGTGGGCTAGCCACTGCATTTTATGGGCAAATGAGTTAATTTGTTTAACAGATGACGGAAATGTAGAAAAATGTTAAATGGGCATTGTTTTTTAGCGTTGGATTTCATTGGCTAGGTATTAATCGGTTCGACTTTATGAGCTTTTAGTTTTGTGAAAGGGGGCTCAGAGTCATTTGGCCTAATATAAATCACGTGACATTACATGCAAACAGATAGTAATGGATACTTTTAAGTGATTTTTCAACAATAAGATAAGTTTTATTCCATTTGATAAAACATAGGGGTAGTTTAAGTATTTTATCTAAGAAAAACCAGTTATTAATTCAGCAAAAAATGTATTGTTTTATTTGATATGGTATTTTTTTTTCTTTTTTTTTTTAATTTTAGAAAACAAAAATCATTCATTTAGAAATATGTATGATTTTGTTTTTGAAACAAAAACTTACATCCTTTAGAAGAATCATGTTGTGTTTGCTGATGCAGCAACTGTTTTTGCTTAAAAAAAAATAAAAATCATACATATCAGGGTGTTCATCAATATCAAGGGTTTTTTTAAAACAAAAGCAGCTGCTGCACTGTTTTGTTTTTAAAAGAAAAATAATACATAGCCCCTAAATGCGTTAGCTGTGTATTGGGCTGTGGAAGTGGAACCATATATGGTCTACATTAAGAGGTTGAATGGTTGTGGGTTCAATGTATTTTATGACCGATGTAAAACGTTATTATTGGTTCCACAACTTTCTAAGCAGCGATTGTGTCCATAGAATCTATATATCTATCTTTCTAAGCAGCGATTGTGTCCATAGAGTCTATATATCTATTATATTAATCAAATGGATCTCAGGTTTACGAATTTAAAGTCCATTTTTTTATGGGTTCTCTATGATATGAAAAAGATATGATATCCGAAAAACAACTGAATAATAAATTGTAATCATAAACATGATAGTCAATAAGGTGTTATTTATCAAATTTCATGGGTGGGTATTGATTGGTCAAAACTCTTTCCATACCCTACCTTTCCCGCATCATAGATTTTCCCTTTATTTATTTATTTTGATTTTGAAAAGAAAAAAAATATCAATTAAAGGAAACTAGGAAAGGGAGCTTGAGAAATTTTTTCTTATACAGAAAAACCAAAAGAAAATTGAAAGCATGCTATATATTTTGTTTCAACGAAAGAAAAAGGGAAAATAAAAATAGTATAAAAGAATTTTCCTCTATTGTCTTCTATAATCTTGCCCTAGCAATTATTTTCTCAAGTCCTATAAGAAACAAAACTATAATTATTTTCTCAATAGAATAGAATAAAAAATGAATAAACCAATTGGAAATTTGGAATGCACGCGACAGCCCATGTATGAGTCCAATACAAAGTGGATATGAACAGCCCATTAGCCTATCAAGAAAATAGCCCATGAATCTACTACAAGAGAGGGCCCACAAACCTTCAGAGTTCTCCTTCCGAGGACGCGCGAGGCCGAATGAAAGAGCCCAAGTGGAATTGTCGATGCCAACGATCCAAGCTTAATCAACTCAATTCCGCTTCCCCTCCAGTTCTTTTTCAGGTTAGGGTCCTGTCGGGGCGATCGGTCTCGTCGGGGCGATCTCCGGAGGTTTTGTTCAGAAAAAGGTCAGTTCTTTGCTCAATCAGATTTTACGCCATCAGATTTCGTCTAATTCCTTCAAATTTCTTCAATTCTTTTTGTTGCACTTCTTCATTTCCACGAATCTAGATTCGCCAAATAGCTTTGTTGTGCTTCATTTTTGTTTCCATTTTCAGTTTAGGCTCATAATTTAATATATGTGCTTGAAATTATGCGAATCCTTTCATGTTTGCAAACCACATTGTATTCCCAATTCTCATCTGAGATCTGATTCTTTTGACCTATAGATCTTCATCTTTAAGATTTTGCTCGCTTCTACTTCCGAATTCTTTCCCTTCAATCCCCCTTTCTCCAGATTATCCAGGAATGTAAACCCATGCAGAAGGGTTGTTATTTTTTTTTTTCGATTTAAACTCTTTGTTATTATAGCTTTTTATTGGAATTTTACCATTTTTTTTTCATTTTCTCGGTACGCTTGAAGCGCTATTTAAACCATTGTTTGAAAATTTCAATGTTGGTATTTTAAATAATATTCCTTTAATTGATTCGCAATTCCCTAAAATTCCATCAGTAACGTTGCACAGATTTGTCAGAAGATGTTCGCAACATGTTTATGGAATTTATTAGTTAATCTTCTTTGCTCGTGATAAAATCATAAACAATGCCAGTTAATATGCCAAGAAAGGAGAGCTGAATAGTTTGTTTCAATAGGTTGTGTAATGGTAATACCCATATCAGAGGTAGTGCTAAAAGAAAATTGTTTAGAAGAATGGAACTTCAAACTGATTACTAATGACATCCCTAGTAGTATGCTTCTCCGTGTTCATTCACTTTTCTCACTTCCTACTATTCTGATCTTTGTTTATCCCATTGAGTATATGAGATTTGTGGTTTATCTGTTCTATGTTACTTAAGGGGCAGGGAATGATTCACCCAGCTTCTTGTTCCATTTCTACATTGCTTTCCTAGTATAGCTCATCATTTGGTTTTCTAATCAGGAATTTATTATAAATATGGGGCGCTTAAAGCTGCAGTCAGGAATCAAGGCAATTGAGGAAGAGCCTGAGGACTATGATTCTACATCTAACAGAGGTGCGTTAGCATGTATGGTGAATTCAGAAGTAGGTGCTGTGCTGGCTGTCATGAGAAGAAATGTAAGGTGGGGAGGTCGTTATATGGCGGGGGATGATCAGCTTGAGCACTCTCTTATCCAGTCTTTGAAGACATTAAGGAAGCAAATTTTTTCATGGCAACATCAATGGAATACAATGAATCCAGCTGTCTATCTCCAGCCTTTCTTGGATGTGATTCGATCGGATGAAACTGGTGCACCAATTACTGGTGTTGCCTTGTCATCCGTCTACAAAATACTTACTCTTGATGTAATTGATCTAAATACCACAAATGTTGAAGATGCAATGCATTTGGTAGTTGATGCTGTGACAAGCTGCAGATTTGAGGTGACTGATCCTGCCTCAGAAGAAGTGGTACTGATGAAGATACTTCAGGTTCTCCTGGCATGCATGAAAAGTAAGGCATCGGTTGTGTTGAGTAATCAGCATGTCTGCACCATAGTAAACACATGTTTCCGTGTAGTTCATCAAGCAGGAACTAAAGGTGAGTTGTTGCAGCGGATAGCTCGGCACACAATGCATGAACTTGTTCGGTGTATTTTCTTGCACCAGCCAGACATTGACAATACTGACCGCTCACTGTCTAGAGGCATGTCTTCTGTCAAACAAGAGGTATTGATGCATTAGTTAAACATTTCCATCTATTTAGATATTTAGCTCATCAATCTGGATTAAATTTTTGTAGGCTACCTCTAAATAGGTTTTTAGACCAAACTTAGTGCTGATTAGGAAAATCATAAGCTGCTTGTTAGAGAAAACTTTTTGATATGTGGACACAGCACATTTCAGCATGGACAAAGGTTGTCTTGTCAGACTCAAAAAGGCCTGAAAACCTAGAATAATGGACATGGCTGTATGTATAAATACAAATGTATAGTTGTTTGTAAGTAGGCATGTACATATATTCATGTGCTAATGCATGTTGTATACTTGTATTTTCTCTCTCTCTTTTGAATATAATAGTCACCTTTTTTTGAAAAAATAAAGAAACTAAAGGTATATGCATTTGTGTGTGTGTTCAACTGCTTTCAACATGTCTTGGCATGGGTTTTCTGTCAACAAGTCTCTGACGTTTGGCACAGATTGGAAATCTATGGATCATCTGCCTGAAAAAAAGAGATTGCAGTTCAGAAAGAGAATCCATGCAATAGATGGTAGTGACATTTAATGGACATGGATTTTTGGTCCACATCTTGAAGGTGGCATTTTTTAGTGCAAATGAAGAGTTTGTATAATGAGTTGATTGAATAGGTTGGGGTGCTTTAACCATAAATCTTTCTTAGCATAGTAGTCATAGAAAATTCTCTTTTTATTTTGAATTTTCTTTTTACAGAGATTGGGGGAGAAGCCTTTTGAATGAAACTTAAAATCATTTTGAAACATGATTGATGATAAATATGAGACTGGCCATGTTACTACTTGTCTCTCAAATGCTTCCCCCCCCCCGCCCACACATGCATATACAAAGAAAGAAAAAATGATATCTTCTTTGAAATACAAATGATAATTGTGATATGTTTCTTAACATTAGGAAATCACAAACTCTATTTTCTCTTGGGAAATGCTTTTATCTAGGCAGGAAGCTCATATTATCACCCTCTAAGGCATTTCAACAACGAGTATATATGGCTGCTTAGTTTTGATCAGTCATTTTCTTAATATGCAAGGTTGACTGTTTCTCATGCAGGTCTGTGGGCCAGAAAAGGATCACAGTTTTGGGGTTAAACAACTAGATAATGGAAATGGCAGTTCTGAAAGTGATGGTCAACTTCCTTCTGTTGGTTTTGCTTCAAATTCTTCCATGGGTTTGGTTGGAACCTTGATGGACGAAAATACAATTGGGGTTGTTAATGGGAAGGATGCTTCTCCAAATGATTTGAATCTCATGACAGAGCCATATGGAGTCCCTTGCATGGTGGAGATATTTCACTTTTTGTGTTCCTTGTTAAATATTGCTGAGCATATTGGAATGGGCCCTAGATCAAATTCCATGGCTTTTGACGAAGATGTACCTCTTTTTTCTTTAGGACTGATAAATTCGGCCATTGAATTGGGTGGACCCTCTATCCGAAAACACCCTAAATTATTGTCCTTGATACAGGATGAATTATTCCGTAATCTCATGCAGTTTGGCTTGTCAATGAGTCCATTGATTCTGTCAATGGTATGTAGTATTGTTCTCAATCTGTATCTCCATTTACGTAGTGAGTTGAAACTACAACTTGAGGCTTTCTTTTCTTGTGTGATTTTGAGGCTAGCACAAAGCAGGCATGGGGCTTCATACCAACAGCAGGAAGTTGTCATGGAGGCTCTTGTTGACTTCTGCAGGCAGAAGACATTTATGGCAGAGATGTATGCCAACTTTGATTGTGACATTACCTGCAGTAATGTATTTGAAGACCTTGCTAACCTATTATCAAGAAGTGCATTTCCAGTGAATTGCCCTTTGTCTGCGATGCACATCCTTGCTTTGGATGGTCTGATTGCTGTGATTCAGGGAATGGCTGAGAGGATAGGAAATGGGTCTCCTGTTGTACAGGCTTCATCAGAACTTGAGGAATATACCCCATTCTGGACTGTTAAGTGTGAGAACTATGCAGATCCTAATCATTGGGTTCCTTTTGTCCGGCGAAGAAAGTACATAAAGAAAAGGTTGATGATGGGTGCTGATCATTTTAACCGGGATCCAAAAAAGGGCCTAGAGTTTCTTCAAGGGACTCATCTTTTGCCTGATAAGCTTGATCCCCAAAGTGTTGCTTGCTTTTTCAGGTATACAGCTGGGCTAGATAAGAATCTTGTTGGGGATTTCCTGGGAAATCATGATGAGTTTTGTGTTCAGGTGCTTCATGAATTTGCTGGGACTTTTGATTTCCAAGATATGAATTTGGATACTGCATTGCGGCTGTTCTTAGAAACTTTTAGGTTGCCTGGAGAGTCGCAGAAAATTCAGAGGGTGCTGGAGGCATTCTCTGAGAGATACTATGAGCAATCACCACAGATTTTAGCCAACAAAGATGCTGCTCTGCTGTTGTCTTATTCTCTTATAATGCTGAACACAGATCAGCATAATGTACAGGTTAAGAAGAAGATGACTGAAGAGGATTTCATCCGAAACAATCGGCATATTAATGGTGGAAATGATCTCCCTCGAGAATTCCTATCGGAGCTGTACCACTCAATTTGCAAGAATGAGATCCGGACAACCCCGGAACAAGGTGCAGGTTTCCCTGAGATGACACCTAGCCGATGGGTTGATCTAATGCGAAAATCCAGCAAGACTTCTCCATTCATCATGTGTGATTCTAGAGCCTTCCTGGACCATGATATGTTTGCGATTATGTCAGGTCCAACAATTGCTGCTATCTCAGTGGTGTTTGATCACGCAGAGCATGAAGAAGTCTTCCAAACATGTGTGGATGGTTTTTTGGCTGTTGCAAAGATTTCAGCATGCCATCATTTGGAAGATGTATTGGATGATCTTGTTGTGTCTCTTTGTAAGTTCACAACCCTCCTAAACCCATCTTCTGTTGAAGAACCTGTTCTAGCCTTTGGTGATGACACAAAAGCTAGGATGGCAACTGTAACGGTTTTCACTATAGCAAATAGGTATGGTGATTATATTCGCACTGGATGGAGAAATATCTTGGACTGCATCCTAAGGTTACACAAACTTGGTCTTCTTCCGGCTCGTGTAGCCAGTGATGCTGCTGATGATTTGGAACTCTGCTCTGATCCTAGCCAAGGGAAACCTGTTACAAGTTCCTTATCTGCATCTCAGATGCCTTCCATGGGTACTCCTCGGAGATCATCGGGGCTGATGGGCCGGTTCAGCCAGCTTCTCTCTCTTGACACAGAAGAGCCAAGGTCAAAACCTACTGAACAGCAACTTGAAGCTCATCAACGGACTCTTCAGACAATCCAGAAATGCCATATTGATAGCATATTTACAGAGAGCAAATTTCTTCAAGCTGATTCACTGTCTTATCTTGCTCGAGCTCTCATCTGGGCTGCAGGGCGACCTCAGAAGGGAAACAACTCTCCTGAGGATGAAGATACTGCGGTATTTTGTTTGGAGTTGCTGATAGCAATAACTTTGAACAACCGTGACCGAATCATTCTCCTCTGGCAGCTTGTGTATGAGCACATATCCAACATTGTTCAGTCGACTATGATGCCTAGTGCGCTGGTGGAGAAGGCTGTGTTTGGACTCCTGCGGATATGCCAGCGGTTACTTCCATATAAAGAGAACTTGGCTGATGAACTTCTTAGGTCACTGCAACTAGTGTTGAAGCTTGATGCCCGGGTGGCTGATGCATATTGTGAACAAATAACACAAGAAGTCATGCGCCTTGTAAAAGCAAATGCTACTCACATTAGATCTCAAATTGGATGGCGGACTATCACTTCCCTTCTTTCCATCACAGCTCGTCATCCAGATGCCTCAGAAGCAGGATTTGAAGCACTAATATTTATCATGTATGATGGTGCCCATCTCTCACCAGCAAATTACATTCTCTGTATTGATGCATCAAGACAGTTTGCTGAATCTCGAGTAGGGCAGGCAGAGCGATCTATCCGTGCATTGGATCTGATGGCAGGCTCCTTTGCCTGTCTTGCACAGTGGTCACGTGAGACTAAGGAGACTGCAGGGGAGGGAGCTGCTAAATTGTTTCATGATATAGGGGAGATGTGGCTGAGGTTGGTGCAAGGACTGAGAAAGGTGTGTTTGGATCCCAGGGAAGAGGTCCGGAACCATGCCATATTATCATTGCAGAGATGCTTGACAGGGGTGGAGGGGTTATCCCTTTCACTTTCTTTGTGGTCTCAGTGTTTTGATTTGGTCATCTTCACTATGCTTGATGACTTGCTAGAGATTGCACAGGGGCATTCCCCAAAGGATTATCGAAACATGGAAGGCACCCTTATCCTTGCAATGAAGCTCTTGGCAAAAGTGTTCTTACAACTACTGCATGACCTCTCACAGGATAAAACATTTTGCAAACTATGGCTAGGGGTTCTTAACCATATGGAGAAATACATGAAGGCTAAAGTCAGGGGGAAGAGGAGTGAGAAGCTTCAGGAACTAGTCCCTGAGCTCCTTAAGAATGTTCTGCTTGTTATGAAGACAAAGGAGATTCTTGTGCACAGAAGTGCTTTAGGTGGGGATGGCTTGTGGGAACTAACATGGTTAAATGTAAACAAGATTGCTCCTTCTTTGCAATCTGAAGTGTTTCCTGGCCAAGAGCTGGAGCAGGTGCGTCATAAGCATAATGATGCTGGGGGGAGTACGGCCTCTGATGGGACTGGATTCATTCCATCAAGTGAGGCATTGACAACTTCTGAAAGTACAAGGACAGGAGGATAATATGTTTTACCATTTTAAGATGGCCTTATTAATGTGCCTTGTAAAATGCCCAAAACCAAAAGAAGCACTAATTGCTATTGTAGGGTGTGTTCTATATTTGGGTGTTGAAATTTACAGGTGAGAATTGCTCTTCAAAATACTTCAAGTTTACAGATCAATGGTAGCTGTGGGAGGCATACTGGAACAGAGAAATGAATTGTGGTAGAGGGTTTATTTGGACAAATTGGATTGTGTTATACTGGTAATATGTACATCTTCTTGTGCTGGCACTTGTTCATTTCTTGATATTTTGATCTCAATGAAAGCATGGTGCACAGTACCTTCCATTTTTGAGATATGCCTCTGAAGATAGTTATTTGACGATGGTTTGGTTCTTTTGGTTTTGAAAATTTTGTATCAGGAGAATGTGGTAGACTTTTTAAAAAATCTGAAAGATGTCGAATTCATCCTGTTTGTTCATGGGTTTTTGTAACTAACAACTTGAGTTCTGTATTATTTTTGGTCATGTCTGTAGAAACATAACATTCTAGTTATTTGCTCTGTAACTCATGTTATTGAAGTGTTCTAACTCAGCTTGAGACTCTTGAAGTTATCTTGTTTGGTGTTACCTAATTTCTAAGACATTCATGAATTGCACGCTGGATTAAGTTAATCTTCGTATAATGCACCTACACTTGGGTGGTGTTCATTACCATGCTCTGGTTCCAGAACACACCTTGATGTCTGGGCATTCTTTTATGCTTTTTTTTTTCTAGTTCTGGGACCAGCAATGTGTTCAAGAACTCCAAAATATTGCTGGTTTGGTTAACATGCTTATTTCTCGTGGTTTGAAACACGAGAGGTGTGGTGTTTCAAAACATGTAACACACCACACCACAATTTGCAGAACACTACTGAGGTGTGGTGTTTCAAAACATGTGGTTTCAACCACACTACAGAACGGCCCAGTGATTTGAAACACTCCACACGTATAGAACACAATACAGAACATTCCCTTGGTATTCATGTTCATTGTTTTGAAAACTGGACTATATTGGCTTGTTGACTGGGTTCAGCCAGAACAGGACCCCTTTACAGTTGCCAAATATGATTATGAACCATGCGGAATATGGTAAATAAATATCGATTTTGGTTAAACCCAGATGACCAACAGTTGAAATGTGTTTTTTTATTGAACTGGAAACGGGTTCTTTCCAGTTTCCGGCTCAACGTTTAGTTAGTTTTCAATACATTCTTCATGTTTATTGATATTTTCAATGAATGTAAAATTTTGGTATTCTTGGTTTGGGCTACAATGTGGGGATTCTAAGACAACCAAAAAGAATTGGACAAATTTGATACAAACATTAGGGCCTATTCGTTTGCTCTGAAGTTTGACGTATGAAAGTGCAATAATTACATTAAGAGGTATATTGGTATTGGTGAACTTTTACTTTCTTTAAACTTTGAATGCAAAGAATGTTGTTATTTTGAATTCTGAATTTTGAAAATTATCAAATATCCCTTTTGACCCCATATATGAAAGTTTTTGTCTTTTTGGGAGTATTATTGGAAAACAAAAAGTTGTATGATTGAACTTTAAGAGATAAGAGGAAACGAACAACCATTTTTCTCTTAAAGTTAAAAGATTTTTCTTAAGAGATAAGAGTTAAGAGGAAACGAACAAGCCCTTAGCTTATAAACAGGTTTTAATTGTTATATGCATGATCCACTCTTGTATAGTTCTTGAATGCCTTGTTCCGAACATGGGTGGTAATGAGGAAGGGTGGTAAACCTAAAATTGCTATTGGGTAATTTTGTGGGGTGACATGTTTAAGGATAAATTGGACTAAAATAGGCATTATAGGGGTCAATCTGGAAGAAGGGGAACTCCATAGATTCTTAGAGATTTTAGGGTGCGAGATTAGAAATTGGCCAATGAGCTACTTGGGGTTACCTTTAGGAGGCAATCCTAGGTCAAAAGGTTTATGGAAGCTAGTCATTGAAAGATTTTCTAGGAAGCCAGGTCTGTGGAAGAGGAATTATATCTCTCTTGGTGGAAGGATAATCTTGCTTAGAGCCACTTTGGCAAACCTCCCTATTTATTTTCTTTCATCTTTTATAATACCTTGTAGAGTAATAAGGAATTTGGAAAAATACATGAGAGATTTACTTTGGGACCTAGGAGAGGAGAGGAAGGTTCACTTGATTAATCGGGATCAAGTTAGAAAGCCCAATGATCAAGGGGGTTTGGGAATAGGAAATATTTCACTCAGGAACTTAGCTTTGTTAGGAAAATGACTGTGGAGATTTCCTTTTGAGAGAGACAAGCTATGGCACAAAGTCATTGAGAGTATTCATGGTTTGGATGCAAAAGTTGCCCTTCATGTTTCTTCAACTTCTTCTTGGAAAGCAATTTATGAAATTTACCCGACATTCCTTAATTCCATTCGACTTGATGTGGGCCAGGGTAATAAAATTCGTTTCTGGGAAGACCTTTCGGTGGGAGATAGTCCACTTAAGGACACTTTTCCTGACCTCTACACTTTGTCAAATTTTAAAGGGGAAACGGTAAGAAATTTGGGATTTCCTAGTCCAAATGGGGCTAATTGGAATTTGGGTTTTAGAAGGGGCCTTAGGGAAAATGAATGTAACTCTTTTGTTCAATTGCCAGACCTAATAAGACAAGTTCATCCATCCTTGGAAGATTCCAAAATATGGAAAGGCTTTTAGGATGGCCTCTTCTCTTGTTCTTCAAGGTAAATATTTGTGATATTTGCAGAGAAGAAGGCCTTTTGTATGCCTTTCTCCTCACATGTGCTCCCTTTGTATGAAAAGTGGTGAGACCCTAACACACCTATTATTATCTTGCTCCTTTGTGCATCACATTTGAGAATTTTTCTGTACCCTCTTTGGTTATAAGTGGGTTTCCCCTCAAGATGTGGTAAGGCTCTTCAACCAGGACTTTTTGAGTCAATCAAAGAAAAGAGGAGGTAATCGACACCATCAAAGTTAAAGTAGATCACTAGATAAGATCTATGCATATATTTCAAGATTTCTCAGTCATAGACATTATAAGATCTTGAACAGAAGTAGCACAAACAAATGTGAAAGAGAAAATAATGATGGAAACCTCTAGATGGTAACAGGTTTAAACTGAATTTTGATTGAAGCTCTTTTGGAAATCCATGACTGTTAAGTATTGAGGGAATAATCAGAAATTCTGAAAAGATAATATTAGCTTTGTTCTTTGGACTGATTGGCATGGGCAACTCTCTAAAAGATGAGTTAATGCTACAAGGGCTGAAGATAGCTAAGCAACTAGGATGAGGCATATTAAGATTGAAGGGGATTCCAAGGTGATCATCTCCTGGCCTAAAAACAATAGAAGTATTACATGAACATTCAAACAAGTGATAAGGGAAGTGGAAAAGGTTGAAAGAGAGGTAGAGACTGAATTCAAATGGGTTAAGAGTGCAAATGGACTAGCTGATTATCTTGCTAAACAAGGGGCCTTAAGGCAATAATTGTTTTGGGCTGCAATGTAAAGTGGGACAAAAATTTGTAATAGTGTGGGAGCTTTAATCCCATACACAAAGCTGTAAAACCTTATTTTAACCCTAATTTCAAATAAAATTCTCTTTTGCTAATAAGAAAAAACATGAGTTCCCTCTAGTGTCTAGTGTTTCAGGTGCAAGAGGTACATCTAAGCCAGGAAAAAGCTCCATGATCAGCTGGTGTTGTTCTCTATCTATGAAGGCCTTTACTTGTTTACTAGGATTTATAAATGTTTTATGGTGAGTGAAAATTGATCCACATGGAGTTAATTTTGTATTTTTGGATTTAATTGCAAAGAAAGAATGTCAATATATCCAAATGAATTATGTGGATGGAAAATTTTGGATGGTCTATTTCCTAATTTTGTTTCTGTATAAACAAATATAGAAAGATCTCTACTTTCTAGCCACAAAATGAATATTTTAATTTAATAATGTCTAATCATAATCTCAAAAAATAAAAAATTATAGAAGTATTTTACAACAGAATATAAAAATTTACTTGACGATCAAGTGAGGTGAGCCTCCATCGGCACAATGTTGCCTAGGCGTCACCTAGGCACCCACCTTGGCATCGCCTTGACAACTATGACCTGAACCCTATCACAAAAAGCCCTTTTGCATCACTATTTTCACTCATAAGGCTGTGTTTGGTTGCAATGCAAATAAATTTGCTCTGACACAAAACTTTGACAATGCACATGATTTGGGTGTAAATTCTGACCTATTTTTGTTTCAAAATTTAATATATCTTGTTTGAATGTAGTACAAATGAAATAAATTAAGACATGAAGCAAAATAAAGTAAAAGCCAAAACAAAATTAAATGAGGATTTACATATTTTTTTCATTTACACTTTGTACTGGTGCAAATAAAATTATACTACAACCAAATACAGCCTAAAGTTTTTCCTTATTTTTGTTTCTTTTTTCATGAATAAAATTGGATAAACCTTTTCTCATTATTCTTTTGCATCTTATATATATATATATTGATAGGATTGCGGTGCTCCCTCCGTGTAGGATTGCGAGTAGATTCCCACGTGAGAGAGCACCCCAATCCTGTTTTGGGGTGACGCCATATATATATATATATATATATATATATATATCTAATTATATAAATATATAATAGTTATTATAAATATTGTTAATAACTAGATATCGAACTGTTGGAACGGCTTCAGTTTTTTAATTTTTTAATTTTTTAATTTTTTTTGTTAGAATGGGCTAACTGTTCGACTTGGGAACCGGACCCTTGATTGGTTCAATCTCTGGGTTGGTTAACAATTTTGACCATTTTTTATTTTTTTGTCAGAAAGGGCCGACTATTCGGTTTGAATGGTTAGACCGTTTGACCCGGTAATTGGACCCCTGACCGATTCGGTCTCTAGTCGATTTTAAAAACCATGATATTATGTCATTCGAGCATGTAACTCATAAGATCCAAAAATGGAACCGTTCTAGCCATCGGTTTTTGGGTCGACGATTCAACCCTCCATTTCGAACAGACGACCCATTCTGATAACAAAAATTAAAAAAATAAGAAAACCATTGAACGGGTCAACATGTTGACGGTTCGACCACTCGAATCAATGGGTCGTTGACCAATTCAACGGCTTTTGGCTAGGGACCAGGATTGGGGTAAAACGGAACTGGTTGCTTGGACGATTCCCAATTAAAAAATTAAACAAACTAGATGACTCGTTTTGACAACAAAAATTACAGGCAAAAAAATTGAGTGTGTGAGGTCCATTAAGCAGTACCATACGTGTCATGTCATTCGAGTGTGTAACTCATACGACTTGAAAATGGAATTGTTCTGGCCACTGTTTTTCGGGTCAATGATTCGATTGTTCGGCTCGAACAATGGCCCGTTTTGACAACAAAAATTAAAAAAATAAAAAAATGACCAAAAACCATTGAACGGGTCAATGGTTCAACTATCCAAGTCAATGGGTCATTGACCGATTCAACGATTTTTGGCCAGGGACCGAGATTAGGATAAAACATAACTAGTTGCCTGGATGGTTCCCAATTAAAAAAATAAAAAACGGCTAAAAACCATTTTATGAACCAATGAATCGATGATTCAATCGATTAGGTCAATAAATCATTGACCGATTTAACGGTTTTTGGTCGGGGACTGAGTCAACAAATCATCGGTTCCATTCTAGCCCTGCGAAGTAGGGCCCCTACGCTAGTGATAGCTTAAAGCAATTTGAGATGAAGCTGTCGTACACTAAGCGCACTAGCAATCAACTTGTACTCAAATTATCCACACACGGTTTTTTGCTATACATTTAAGTTTTTTTACAATTGACTAGCTCTACCCCTGCCATTAATATCCGTTAATGTTGCGTGAAAATTTGAATTTTTTTCAAAACCCAATTTTGCCCTTCGTCTCTCTCAGCTCTTCACCATCCCTCTCCCGGCGGTGAACTACTCTGCAACCGTTCCACTCCTTATTTCTCCGCCGCCATCGCCATCTGAGCTCAACTTCCCTTGAGTCCAAAAGGGTCTAATAAGCAAAAGCAGAAATAATGTTCGGAAGCCCAAATCTAAACAGCAAGCCTATATCCCAAAAGGAACCTAGAACTGGGTATCTCTCATCTGCCGTTTTGATGTAGGTACTCAGATCCGGTTGTCATCCAGTGAGGAAGTTGCTACTGCCGCTGGTTCGATTTGCAGCGGCAGTGGCGGAACAGGGGAGAAAGAAAAGGAAAAAGAGGAGGAAGATGGAGGGAGAAAGGAAGTTGCCGGTGATTAAAACCCCCGCTGCAATTAAAGATTCACCGGCAAAGGAGAAAAAAAAATTTCAAAATGGAGAGAATGAGAGAACCGGAGCTTTACCATTTGGAGCCTTGACATTTCCATTCCTATTATCCGCCATTAAAGGTTCATGAATCTAGAAAAATTCAAAACTGCAATAATTCGTTCAAAGAAACTGATGAATAAATTAGGTGACGGACAGCTTGTAATTCTCAGCTTTCCCCTTGTGCCAAATAACAAAAGCAATCAGAATCCCAAACACACTGCAACAGGAATTCACGATTTTTCTTGTACTAAGTAGCGCTAGCCCGTTTCCTGTAGAAGTAGGGTTACTTCACCTCCGAATCTCCATCAAAACATAAATCACGACTCAGAAAAAAAAAAAAAAAAAGAACTGAATAAAGACTCACCTTTCTTGTACTCAGAGGGAGTCCTCTCTACTAAGAGTCATAAGAAACTCTCTGATGTTAGGGCTCAACTACGTCCTATTTCTGCAATCCCCAAAACTAGTAATACGAGACCGCCAACAAAACTGAACCTCTTCTCCTATTTCACAGTGACAGAAGTTCCCGTCCTCTGTTCACAAAAATTCAAATCCAAAGCTACGGTTAGGGTTTTCGCTACCTGCAAACTGAAAACAACGACGGAATAAGCAGAAAACAAGATGAGAAACTTTACTAGTTATGCTTCTTTCCACTCATTTCTTGGTCTCTGTGGCGATGAGCAGACCAGCTTTCCCATCACCGAGCTATTCATACAGTGGGCATGAATCCTGTTCCCGATGGATCATTCCAGTAAATCTATGGTTATGTGGCATGTAATCTTTATAATTTTTCTCTGCAGCACTCCTTAATTAATCGTTTTTGAAACAAGACGTGCTCATGTTTCTTGCAGTTTCGCCGTGGGTCACTGTAGTTCTCAGTAAATTGTTGTAGGTATGAACGAGAGAAATTGAGAAATAGAGAAAGAACGAAAATGGTTTTCGTGAGAAACAGAGAGAATGAGTGAGAACCAGAGAAGCCAAGGGTCACCGCTGCAAAACCACCTGTCGCTGGTTGTCGTGGGTCACTGTAGTTCGTTGTAAATCGTCCAAGGTCAGAGCGAGAGAAGCTACTCCATGGAAGAGGAAAAAGCGGGCAAATTTGACATTTTGTTTATCAGTAGTTAACGACAACGAAAATTATCAGTAAATTTAAGGGTACCATAAGACTATAATTAAACAATAGGGTACCGCGTATCATTAGGATAATTTAAGAGATTTACCCTTTTTCAATACATACAGTAAATCGCGCAGTATCAAGAAGTAATGCGAGATCAGAATTTTATAACCCGAAAGTACGAGGGAATGCATCTGACCGTAAATTGATGTCAAATTCAAGAACATGATGTGGTTTATAGGGGGAGAGGGCTAATAGTAGGAGGGGGCTGGAATTCTGAATTCTGCATCGTGTGTATTCATACTTGTCCGTAAAAATAATTAGTTTACTTTTATACATGTTTTGTGTTAGCGTATTCTATCAAAATTAGTTTTAATATTTCCTTCCTTCTAGGAGATAGCTGTACATACCTTATCTTTTACCTTGTCTCCCTATTGTACCCCTATTATAATTAGCTCTATTATAAATAGAGCTGTAGCTTATTGAATATATACATCAAGAGAAACTATTATCTTTTCCATCCATCTTTCTTGGTTCGTATAATAGTATCAGAGCCTGTGATATTTTATCGGATCTGTCCCTCCACTTGAGATTCGTCGGCGCCCTCTCATGAGTGCACACTGTCGTTGCACCGGTTATCGTAGCACCTCGCATTGAAGGCTAGCTCCCTCGCATAACCGCCTGTCATGATTGTTGTCCTGTACACGACTTCGGATGCACGTAGAAAACTGAGTTCAATTCTTATTTGCTTCTTCTTCTTCAAGCCCGGAAGCAGGGTAATCTAGAGTTTGCCATCTGGAGCACGGAAGCTTGTCGATCCAGCTTCRAGGATAATCACRAAAAGCRCCYAGTTGTTATTYTYGTCTGTGTTTCGCAAGGATCTTCCTGCTCCGCCGCCCGGTACARAGGTAAACAGAGAACYGAAGCTTGGATCCTCCGTCTTCCAAGTCTRCGACCAGACSGACRACTCCTCTGCTYCGGTTGGCTGYGGAACAAGCTTGGATCCTCTGTCCTCCGTCTTCCAAGTYTRCGACCAGACCAAYGACTCCTCTGCTCTGCTCCGGTTGGCTGCGGAACAAGCTTGGATCCYCTGCGACCAKACCAACGGCCRGCRTTTTGAACGAGATCTTACCGGAAGCAGGGTCAWCGAGGTAGATATCCCAAAGGGTGACCCAACCCGAATYAGGAGCTCCTTAYTCTTGACGCCGATCAGCTTCTTCATCCGGTGGTTCTTCACGAAGGCGATAGTCTCATTCGCGTACGAGACCTGCTTCCCGTGCACTTGAAGGTGTGNTCTTGACGCCGATCAGCTTCTTCATCCGGTGGTTCTTCACGAAGGCGATAGTCTCATTCGCGTACGAGACCTGCTTCCCGTGCACTTGAAGGTGTGTTGCGTTCTTCCTTCTTAAGCCAGACGAACCCGGCTTCCCTGTTGTGGCCCACCTCCTCTGTGCCGTCTAGCGGCAACAGACTCTTGGGCAGCAATATCTCTTCCAGAAGCTGCAGCGATTTCTTCTTGCAGAGAGCATCTCCGCCTTCTCTGTATAACTCTCAATCGCTTGACTTGCCATCGCTGTTGTCTGAGCTGGTCGCTAAGGCTTAGTTGGGGGAAGACAAAAATATAATTAATTGAAGAAAGCAAGAAAAGGAACACGGGTCTAAGCCTGAGCTTGAGCCTGAGCCTGAGCCCCAGGTCTGCCTTGTTTCTTTTCCTGTGATTTGCGCTGCTTCCGAGTTTTGTGTTTCTCCTCATGGATTCGTCTGAAACTACTCCACATATCTCTCATCCCATCACTGTTACCTTCGATGGCTCAAATTATGATTTATGGTCCCAGGAGATGTGCAGTTTTCTCAAGGGATGTCTTCTATGGCGATATGTGACGGGTGAGATTCCCAAACCCACTAAAATTGCTGATGAAACAGAAGATAAATTTGTTGAACAAGTAGAAAAATGGGACGGGAAAAATCATCAAATATTGACCTGGTTTCGCAATACTTGTATTGCAAGCATCAAGTTGGAATTTTGCAGATATGACTCTCCTAAAGAGGTATGGGATTTCTTACAAGTTCGTTAGTCTATCTGATGATGTGC